TAAGGATCCCCAATGCCACTCTCACTTTTAGTGATTTGCTATAAAGACCCACAGGTTAAGTAAGTTGTGCTGGGGATTACAGTTTGTTACTGTGAAAGAATCCACATCAAAAACCAGTGTAGAGAATATGGAAAACAGGGGCAAGTTTGCAGTTGTCCTCTCCCAGTGGAGTCTCATGGACACTGTTCACATGAAGTACTGCCAACCAGGGAAGCTTACCTCAGTTTTGGTGGCCGGGTCAGTCACATAGGCATGGCTGACTGCCCTGGTGACTGAACTTAATTCTCTGGCCTATTTAGAGGTCAAAAGATACTGTGTGGTCCAAAACCCTCACCATAAATCACCATGTTAGCATAAACTATCTGATCTGGTGTGGGCCAAGCCCTCAGGTAAACAAAGATAGTCTTAACAGGAACAATATTCAAAGTACTTAAAACTTATTGTCCTGGAGTCTGGCTAGGGACAAACCTTTCTTTGGAGTGTACAGGGTTTGCACAACCTGTATCTGCTGAGTTAATCTTTGAGCACAAACCCACTGAATAAGAATCCATGAGTCTATATTGAAATAAATAAATAAATAAATAAATAAATAAATAAATAGATGACAAGAAAAAGTTCCCTCTTGTCCAAGAATGATTATAGGAGGGATAATGGATTAGAAAAATCACTATTTGGTTACCATGATAATATTTACTTCAAGCAATAATTATTAATGGACACTCTAGTGAGCTGATTAGTGGTTGGCCAAAAAGGTATGTCCATGTTCTATTTTTCAGAACATGGGAATGTGACTTTACTTGGAAAAAGGGTCTTTGCAAGATGTAATTAAATACCTTGAGATGAGATCATAGTGAATTACCTACGTGGGCCCTAAATCCAATGACTGTAAGAGATATTTAATGCTTTTCTCTTATAAAAGTCAGAGCAGCAGACAGATATACAGGAGAGAAGGTAACGTGAGACAGAGACAGAGCAGAGATTAATGTGGCCACAAACCAACAAATGCCACCAGAAGCTGGAATAGGCCAGGAAGAATTCTCCCCTGGAGTCTCCAGGGAAAACACAGCCCTGTAGACACAGCTTGACTTCAGACTTCTGGCCTCCAGAACTGACAATAAATTTTTGTTGTTTTAAGCCATCCAGTTTGTAAGAATTTGATGCAGCAGCCACAGGAAACTAATACAGATGCTAAAACCATTGATGAAAAAGAGCGATGCCTTAGGAATTTACAAATCCTAAAGTACCCACAAAATTTGTACTCATTATAAGGAAAAATATAAAAATATAGAAAGTAGGCAATAGTCCGTATTGCTAAAACTTACTGAGTTTCAGAGTCATAGCTTCAAACATAGCTGGTTTGAAGTTCTACCTGCATTATTATCAATTCATATTAGCTCAAGTGATTTTAGGAGTTACTTAATTTCATTAAGCCTCAATTTTTCTATAAAATGGAAATAATAATCACCAATACCCATATCTTAAGGACATTTTGAGGATTAAATGAGACAATCCATGTAAAGCCCATAACTCAGCACATATGTATTAAAATATACATTGGTTGTTTTGATGAGAATAGCTATCATCTACAGAATGAAGTTTAAAGTTCCTGTAATATGCCGAAACCGGTTTGGCTCAGTGGATAGAGTATCGGCCTGCAGACTGAAAGGCCCCAGGTTGGATTCCAGTCAAGAGCATATACCTTGGTTGCGGGCACATTCCCAGTAGGGGTGTGCAAGAGGCAGCTGGTCGATGTTTCTCTCTCGTCGATGTTTCTGACTCTCTATCCCTCTCTTTATTTCTGTAAATAATCAATAAAATATATATTAAAAATAAATAAATAAAGTTCCTGTAATATGCCCTGGTCAGGTAGCCCATTTGGTTAGAGTGCCATCTCAATACTCCAAGGTTGCAGGTTTGATCCTGGTCAGGATACATACAAGAATCAACCAATGAATGCATGACTAAGTGGAACAACAAATGGGTATTTCTCTCCCTTAAATGAATCAAAATATATATATTTTTTAAGTTCCAGAGAGATAAAAGCCATACTCATTGAAAGACTTTATGATCAGGCCATACCCCTTTCTTTACAGCTGCTACTTAGATTGTGTTTCATTCCCAGGCCTCTTGGTCCAATCATTCAACCTTGTTCCTTCCAAAGCTAAGCCATTCACCAGAGCCCTGAAGCCCATCCCTATCAATAGCTCAGACCACTCCTTTGATATACAAAATTGATGACCAAATATGCTTCTTGAAACTCTGCTCACTGGGAGGTGTATTGCATCACTGTCTTCCATTGACACTTCCTAGTGAGACTCTGGCTTCCCAAGAAGCAGGCTTAAACACAGCTCTCTGGACTCCATTGCTGCTTCCCAGGGGGGATGGCAGGCAGCAAAGATGAGTGCCGTTAAGGAACTCATCTGTGAGGGAAAGTGGCAGATACACAACTAATTGTAATGAATGTTAAATGTAATATAATAAGCACCACAGGGCAACTGAAAAGGAAGCAATTGGTTTTGCTTTGGAAAATTGGGGGAATGTCATGGAGGGCAGAATGTTTGATCTGGATTCTTAAACAAAGAGTAGAAGTTCCACAGGCAAAGAATGGAATAACCATTTTTATTAAAAGCAAGAACAAGGCTCTCTTTTGACACTATCTAGCTCAGACTTAAAGCAGCTTAGTTGGGGGTTATTTAAAAGAGATCGTGAAATGTTTGCAGCATTGGGAGTATATTTCCAATAGGGAAGAAGACATTCTTCAGATATCAATTTAATAAAAAAAAGATTTAATGATGTTACTTGTAGACATGTAACATTGGAAATATACTAAGTAAACTAAGGAAATTCCACTTAACGGGCAAAGGAACATCACATGTGGAGACAGAGTAATATTATTTTTAAAATACCCATTGAAATTTTTGCTTCACTTCTTTCCTCTGATTTATGTGATATAAACAAACTACATAATGGTAGGAGGGAATATAAAGATTTTATTGCCACTTGTTTGGTATTGACGGCATAACTCACTCTGAGTAACAGTTGTGGGTATCTCAAACTAAGTGCCATAAAACATTTATAGCATGCCTCTCCACTTCCTATTACCTTCTCCACAGAGACAACACTTTAGTGCTCAGAAAAATACGCATAAACGTAATAGTGAAAACTTCTTTGGTTTATTTAGATTACAGACCTCCAGTATGCAGTAAGAAAAATAAATGTTGCAAGGAAGATTTACTTCTCTGCAGGATCTCAGATTTTTCTGGCAAATTCCTTCCCCAAGGAAAACCACTTTTCAAAGATATCCTCAGTAACATGCATCCTGGAATTAACATAAAATTGCACGTTTGAATTCATTTGTAAATAAGCACTACCCACTTCCTTGCTTCCCCACCCCAGGACAGGACTCCGAGCATCACAGGTGCCCAAAGACTTACAAAAAGGGATGAATAGGAACAAAGGGCTGTAGGTGCCAGGAGGAAAACAATCTCTCAGGACAAAATTAATCTCAAAAGAAGTAGCTAATCCAATACCGAGTATCACCAAAGTTTAAACTACCTTTAAAATGGTGATTGGAGATAGTGTATCAAGTTTATTGGGTCTTTTACTACGCCCGCCTGATTTGCTTAAACTTTTATGTTAAGCTTATCTTGAGGATAGATTCCTGTGCTAAGCACATAATAGGTGTTAAACCAGTATTGATTTTTAAGGGCGATGGCCAATCAATATAAACCTTCTTCTTATTTTTAACTTTTACTTTATGCCTTCACGACCGAACAATGGATGTTTTCTATCTTCCCTAAATCTCACTACTAGGGTAGAAGAAACACAGCTCATGAACAACAACAATTAAATAATAAAGTTGCCGTACACAAAACAGAGAGCAAATGCTTGGGTAAAGAGTCCTGCTGAGGTTCCAAGTCTCAAAAAAACTCCAACACAGAATGTGCACAGTGAGTTTAAATTCATTGTAATTAAAGCCATCCAGAAGGTAGCTGGATTAATTAATTTAGAGGCACTATCTATCCTGGGACAGAAGATTCTAAAACCCACAATGAGAAAGTCCCCTAGGTGGGGGGTGGGGACAGTTAATAAGAACCCCTGGGAAGGGTCCTTTCATGAAGGATTGAAGTAAATAATACATTTGAATGTGAATCTCCTTAAATAGAAATCCCCCCCTAACAGCAGGAAAAGGGTCCCCTAACCCCGCAGCTCGGGGCAGGAAGGGAGTGAACGGAACTGCAGAACTCAGCTCAGCTGTCCCTGGCCTGGGACTGGGCGCGGGGAAAGGCGGGTGTGGGAGCGGAGTATCTGGGTCACTCAAAATAATTCCAAGGACCAAACAACGAACTCGGGCAACGCGTGACAGTCCCCCCTCTGCAGCCTCCTCCCAGGTTTCCACCCAACCCCTCCCCCCCTCCCTCGCGGCGCGAACACCAGGCGCGGCCCCTGCCCACGCGGGGAGCGGGGCGCGGACCGCTTTCCCTGGAGCAGCCGACGCCGGGGCGTTCGCGGCCCGCGGGCCACGGCTGGCGGGCGCCCTCCGGCCCCCAGAGCCGGCGGGGCCGGGGAGGCCTCGGGCCTTCGGCCCCACGTTAGCCCTCCAGAGGCGGCGGCGGCCGCGGAGGCCTCGCGGGCTGCCCGCTCGGCCGCGAGCGGCGAGCGCGGGGCGCCGGGCGGGAGGCGGGGCGGCGGGCGGTGCATCCTGGGAAATCCACCAACATGGGGCGCAGCCGCCGCCGCCAGCCCGGGCCGCGGGGGCCGCCGCTCCCCTGACCCCCGCGGGGCCTCGCCGCGCGCCGCGGCCCGGGATCCCCAGGCGCCGACTGGCCAGCGCGCCCTCCGCCCGCCCGCCGCCGCCGGGGCCATGTGAGGGGGCCGCTCCCGCCGCCGCCGCCTCCCTCTCGCCCTCCTTCCCCACCCCCTCCACCCCTCCCACTCCCCTCACTCGGGGCCCTGGAGGAGCCCCCGCCGCTGCCCGCCCTTCCTCCGCCGCCCGCACGATGGACAGGAACTACGCGACCTCCGGCTTCGCCGACCCGCCGCCGCCGCCGCCCGCGCCCCCCGCCGCCGCCGCCCGCGCCCCCGCGCCGCCCCCCGCCCCCGCCTGGGCCTACGAGCCCCGCGCCGCGGCGGCCGCCAGCACCAGCGGCAGCGGCTGCAGCAGCCCCAGCCTCAAGGCCAGGTAGGGAGGGTGGGCGGCGGGGCATCGGTGGGCCGGGAAAGGCCGGGGATGCGTCCGGGGCCTTCGCCCCTTTGCAGCACCGCCCAAGGGTCCGGGCCGGGCCGGGCGGGGAGCCCCCCACGCGTCTCCCTCCCCTCCCCCCCCCCCGTCCTCCCAGGAGGCGGCCGAGGGCTCCCCTGCGGGGGTCTCGGGGTGGGCGGGGGCGCCCGGTGCGGGGCTCGCGCCCGGGACTAGTTGGGGGGACGGTGGGTAGAAGGGAGGGCTGGGCGGGATTCTGGGTTCCGTCACCTCCCGGGTGCTGCCTGGGCGCTCACATGCTGAAGTTTGGGTTCGTGGCTGAACTCGGCTCCTGGGGACCCGAGAGTGCCTCGGGGGTGAGGGTTTGGGGGGGGGGGCTCCGAGGAGTTCGGGGCTGTGACGTTCCATTGTATTAGGACCGACAATGTGGTCTTGGGGGGCCTGGCCGTGTGAGGGTGGGGGCGATCGGAGGGGAAGAGGCGCCGAGCCGGGTCGCTGACATGGGGGGCCCCGGGAGGGTTGGGCTGCGGAAGAACCCCCGGGGCGTGGGGCCCCGGGAGGGGTCCCGGGGGCGCGCGCACGCCGCGCCGAGCTGGGTGACATATGTTTGCAGTGCTGGCCGCACCGGGCTCTTTCTCTTCCACGCGTTCCAAGTTACTCTCCGGGCTTCTTCCCTTTCCACCGGGGCAGAAGTAAGGGATCTATCTCTGGGTGTCTTGGGGAGACCAAAAGTTGGGAAGAAACTGGAGGGGGGCTTCCGTGCAGGCCATAAAGGTTGAGGAGCGGGAGGAGCATGCTGCTTCTCCATTTCGGCTTCTGGAGCTCCGGTCATGATTGTAGCGCGGGGTTCAAGAGTTCATCGCTGCTCTCTGGCACAGCCCAGGGAATCTGAAATGCCGACTCTTATTAGATAGCGAAGCTCGCGGGAGGCGCGCGGTAGAGCCACTTTGTGCAACGGTCATTTGAATGATAACGGGAAGGCGTGGTCTGGCTGGGGTGATCGGTGAGCGGGGTGTTTTAAAACCTCTCCGCTGAACAATGCTGACTCCGGGAGGGTAGGTGCAGCTTCCGAGGACCGGGGTCGGGAATCCTGGGTTGCTAATGACTTCATCCTCAACTACGGACAGGAAGCGTCGTGGCTTTGTCTCATCAGATTTCTTCATTATTGTCAAGACAGAAGTGAACTTTTTTTTTTTTTTTACTTTACACATTACGGTGTTCTTCTAGGTTGTCTTTGTTTTTATGAAAATTCCACGTTCACGATTTTGGAAATAGATCTGAAGATCAGCTGGATCTTTGTCTTTAGGTAGTTCCTTGGGATGATTATGAGAAATTGAGAAAAATCTGGTTCAAGAAAAGGGAAATAAGCTTCCTTTGAAAATTTTAGGGCCTTTGCTTAAAAGAACTGAGATTTAAAAAAAAAAAAAGTGATGTGCCAATTTGGAGATAAATACTTAAATGCTGGAATAAATAGTCATAAACTATCATAACTTTTACAATTTAAACCATTTTAAGGAGTTTTATGAAAAGACGTTTGGTACCTTTCCCATGACTATTATTATTTTGGTGGTTATTTGACTATCATTTTTCAAGTAGCTTTTGCATTGAAAATGATAATTTACAGATTAAAATTACTTTATCTTCAGTGAACAGCAATGATAGGTATTTATGCAGCATTTTTGTTTTAAATGAAAAAAAATGTTTTATTAGGTAAATGCTATCTAGTTATTTCTGTTATTTCTTTTAGCAGAATACTTCTGGGGCAAGAAACTAAATCTCCTTGTCATATTTTCCAAATGTTGTTTATCAAAATAACAAAGAATGACTTCCCAAACACATTTGAAAACAGTAAGTAGATTCATTTGGAACACATAATCTAAAATAAATTTATTTTCTGTTTATTGGAAGTTATTGATTTTTAAATGCCCCCCTTAAAATATATTCTGGGGATGGGGTCAGCAAAATTCTAGCATAGAAAATGCAGGCTTTCCCCCTCCCCCACCAACTGGCTTTGTTAACGTCTTGTGTTAGGATCAGGCCATCTGTACAGGGCTACACACACTTCATTGTACCTCGTTTTATTCCTCAAACTGTGCAGTGCCCTCTCTCATTTCACTTATATAGAAAATACTAAATCTGAAGTAATGCCCTAAGTCTTTTGGTATTCTGCATTTTCTAGTCATATTTTTATAACATTTTAAAGAGCTTTTTCCTAATTCAGGTTATCAGTTGAATGTTTTTGTTTCCCTTTGTGGCGCTTTCTTCTTGAAGGTGCAAATGAGTATTAGTTGTGATGATGTAATATGGATACATATCCAGAATTAGCTTGTCTGTCACCTCGTTTCTAGTAACTATTGAGAAGCTTACAGATGATAATGACATTCAGTTGTTACTGGCATGGGATCTAACAGCCTACTTTCTGTCTGCTTGGTCCTGAAATGGGACATTTTCATCATTGATAGCGAAAAGCATGGTAAATAATTTTTCATGAGTTTAAAGTAATGCTTTTTTTATATAGCCGCTCCATCAGACATAGGTATTTCTGTTGTTTTAACCATTGAAAAATAAAGAGCTAGAGGGAAACACCAGCATTTTACTTTAAAATAGGGTGTAAATAGAGATTTCTGAATGTTTCTAAAACAATACAGGCTAGGTACATGGAAGTTCAGGGGTAAGAACTGTTCATATTATTCTCCATTTATTTGTGCTTTTCTCAGTTGGTTTTAGGGACCAAATGAGCATATTTTTGCCTATCGTTATGGAATTGGAAGTATTTTTTGTGGGACTATTATATTTTTATTTATTATATTTTTAAAATATATTTTATTGATTTTTTTACAGAGAGGAAGGGAGAGGGATAGAGAGAAACATCTATGAGAGAGAAACATCAATCAGCTGCCTCTTGCACACCCCCTATTGGGGATGTGCCCACAACCAAGGTACATGCCCTTGACCCGAATCGAACCCGGGACCTTTGAGTCCGCAGGCTGACGCTCTATCCACTGAGCCAAACCAGTTTCGGCTGTGGGACTATTTCAGATACTATAAATACCTTCACTTGCTTTTGGAAATAAGATGACATCAGGAAGCTGCAGGCCTGCTGCCTTTTATTATTTATATTTTGCACTGAATAAGAAGAGATAGCAGTTTTATCATGGTAATGATAGATGTTTGTATTTGAATATGCACCAGAAAGTGACTAAATGGAAATATTTTATTTTACAATGATTTATATTTGTTTTTTTGCCTTTCTAACTTGAAACAGTCAGGGGTTGGGTTTTTTTTTTGCCACCAGTTTTTAGAATTTCCTAGTAAGTTCTTTCTGATTATAGCATGTGTAATGAGTGTATTAATGATTAGCTTCTCTAAAAATTGTCAGCTACTATATTAAGGACTTTTTGAGTAAGTTTTAAAGCTAGAGCTTCCTCAATGCTTTTGAAAAAGACCTTGTAAGATCACAATTTATGAGGAGTAAGGACAATCTCAAATTACTAAGATTATTTTATTTTATTTTAATATATATTTATTGATTTTTTTTTTTATAGAGGAAGGAAGAGGGATAGAGAGCTAGAAACATTGATGAGAGAGAAACATCCATCAGTTGCCTCCTGCACACCCTCTACTGGGGATGTGCCCACAACCAATATATATGCCCTTGACCGAAATCAAACCTAGGACCTTTCAGTCCACAGACTGATGCTCTATCCATTGAGCCAAACCGGTTTCGGCACTAAGGTTATTTTAAATAAACTTCTGTTGTTCAGAAAGTATTTTCCCATAGAAATAATGTTGTAAGTAATAGTAACTATTATTTACTGAGCAACTAATGTGCTAGCTACTGACTGTTCTAAGTGATGTGCTAGTACACATGCACACAATTTGAACCTCCAGCAATCTTTTGAGGAACGTATTATTTTTAATTTCTTTCAGTGAAAATAGAAGCCGAGGCATAGAAACATTAATATACTTAGAGACACATAGCTAGTAAGTAGTGGAGCTGGGATTTACCCTGGGCATTGTGGATCTGGAGCCTGCATGTTTAATTACTGTACTTAACTACTTCATGGTAAGATATATCTACCTATATTATGGGTTAAATGAGCTTCTATAGCTGGCCTGGAAACCTAACCATTATTAATATATTTACTTCGCGGTTCTTTGTCACCATTACCTTTCCCCCCTAACTCCCTAACTAAAAAAGCTTCCTTTCATTTCCATAGCTCTGTATTTTCCTCTCTGGCCCACTGCTTTTCCCTAGTTTTCATTAGTCTTTACTATTTTTTTTTAATCTTTGCTTTTAAAAAAATATATATTTTATTGATTTTTTTTTACAGAGAGGAAGGGAGAGGGATAGAGTTAGAAACATCGACCAGAGAATCATAGATCAGCTGCCTCTTGCACACCCCCTACTGGGGATGTGCCTGCAACCAAGGTACAGGCCCTTGACCAGAATCGAACCTGGGACCTTTCAGTCCGCAGGCTGATGCTCTATCCACTGAACCAAATCGGTTTCTGCTAGTTCTTACTATTTTAATCTTTACATGTTGTCATTTCTTCAGGTCTTGGGACTGATACGATTTCTTGTTCATTCTGTGCTTTCTCCTAAGGACATAACATCCATGCTTATGGCTTTAAATATCATCTCTGGGGATACATGTGGTTAAAGCCCAGCCCTCTTCTGAGCACCCAATCCATATCCAGTTACCTCTCTCTGAGCTTTTACTTGAGTATGTAATGGGCATTCAGTAAAGAGCTCATGCTTACCCCACTCACCCCACCTCTTGTTTGTATAGTGAGGTCCATCTCAGTCACACCTCTCTCCCCCTACTTGCTCAGGCCAGAACCTGGGAGTTGTGTGTGCTACTACTTTTTTTTATCTCTTAAATATATATTGAAATTATCTACTTTTTTTTTCTGTTCCCACTACTCCACCCTGATTCAAGGTACTGTTATTTTTCACTCGGATAACTATCGTAGTCTCC